TGGAGGACTGCAGGGCTATCCCATTGCCAGCATGGCTCTATGGAACGGGGGCTCCGTTGGATCAGGACAGGTGAGTACGCTGGGGTGCAGGGGCACCCGGGGCAGCCGGCACACTGCATAAGGCACAGCCCCCTCCCCCATCTCAGATTCCTGAGTTAGTGTCAATGTCGCTGGGGCATTAGGAGCATGCTGAACGGGGCATACTGGGGTGTGGGCCCCCTCAGCCCTCCCTTGCTAGCCGCAGAAAGTGAGACCTACTCTGTGCTGGGGTCAATCCGGAGCCACTCCGCTGAGCTCATGGCAATCCGGAGCCACTCCGCTGAGCTCTTGGCAATCCGGAGCCACTCCGCTGAGCTCATGGCAATCCGGAGTCACTCCATTACAACCAAAGCATCAGACGCAGGCTGGTGCTGGCATACCCCAGCTCAGCTCAACGGAGCTGCAGCAACCCCCTTCCCCTGCATTATACACGGAAGCCCCGTGAAGGGCTACCCTGGGAATTAAGCACCTAACGCCATGGACCTGGGACTGGCATTTCTTTTCCCTCTTGCAATATTCAATCACATTAAAAAAGGGAGGGGAAGGGGCGCGGAGGGGGAGTAACCAGCAGCATCAGCCTCCATATGGCGCAGCTACCATCTCCCCAGGCCCACAGTTTCCGTCCGGCGGCTGCTCAGCCGCCCACCTGCCCAGGAAGTTCTGCTCTGACTCCCAGGCCCCTTTGTGCTGCAGGGGGATCTGAAAGAGCCCCGGGGGCGGGAGGCTTTCCCAGGCGGTGGAATGGCCCAGCCCCCAGGCGTAGGGGGCAGAGCGGGGCGTGGATGCAGCCTCTGCGGGATTCTGCTCTGGGACGCGGCGCCCAGTCGCCAGCGAGGAGTCCGGGCCGATCCCTGCTCCCGCTGCAGCCGTTCCACCATGCCTGTCCCGCCCGAGCCTCCCCTCCGACCCTTGCGCCGTCCACCAGGGGGCTCACGCCTAAAGACACCCCCATTTCAATACTGAGGCAGACAGCAACAGCGCCACCAAGTGGCCAAGCTGGGGAATAGCAGCATTCAAACCCCTCTCTCCTCCCACCCTGGCGGTGCAGCTCCCCGATCGGGCTGTGGGTCCGCGCTGGCTCAAGGCGGTTCCAGCCCTGTGGCTGGGCCAGACTGACCCCCAGCCTCAGAGGGGGGTCTGGCCCTAGTGTCCGAGCTGGGGGGCATTAGTTGGGAAGGACCCTGGGTCCCTGGCAAGAAGCAGAGACTGGTTCACGGTGCTGACACCCCCTGCCCGGACACAGAGCCTGATGCTGCAGGGAGAGGGGCCCCGACCCACACAGCCATCAGCCTCACCTCTGCATGTCCCCTCCGCACCCAGAGCCCTGGGCCGAGATCCCGGCTCGGTTCTAGTGCAACAACAGGAATCGGGGGACCCCAGAAGCCCCCCCGTCACCCCAGGGGATCTCCGGGGATCAGGTGTTATCAAAGGACTTTCCCTCCTGCCCTGCAAACCTCCAGATCTGGCGGCTTTTCTCTGACCCTCCCCACCCTACTGGTCCTGCCGCATCCTCACTGCAGAGGCTGCCAGCTTGCACTTCGCATGCCCGGTGGTCGCCAGGCTGGGTCAGTATTCTCCCCAGACCTGGGAAGAAAATCCCGATCTGGCGTGATGGCCACACTAGGCCCATAAGAAGCGATCTGCAGCTTTCCCTGGCCCCCAGCCCCCTTGTGCTATTCACGGGACGGCTCCCTTTCTGCTGGCGGGGAGCGGATCCAAGCGGCGAACAGACCCGGCCCGGGGAAGTTGCTGCCCCAACAGACTGGTCAGTATTCTCCCCAGACCTGGGAAGAAAATCCCGATCTGGCGTGATGGCCACACTAGGCCCATAAGAAGCGATCTGCAGCTTTCCCTGGCCCCCAGCCCCCTTGTGCTATTCACGGGACGGCTCCCTTTCTGCTGGCGGGGAGCGGATCCAAGCGGCGAACAGACCCGGCCCGGGGAAGTTGCTGCCCCAACAGACTGAGCGTTACGTGTCTCGCTGGCCCCACAGGTCTCTTGCCCACGGCCCT